TGGTTTAATGTTCGGAAATCAATCAACATAATCCATCATATCAACAAAAGAAAAGATAAAAAGCATATGATTATATCAATAGATGCAGAGAAAGCATTTGACAAGATCCAGCACTCCTTTATGATGATAACCCTAGCCAAAATGAGTATAGAGAGGACTTTCCTCAACATAATTAAAGCCATCTACCACAGCCTACAGCAAGCATCATCCTCAATGGGGAAAAACTGAGAGCCTTCCCTCTAAGATCACGGACGAGACAAGGATGCCCACTCTCTCCACTGCTGTTCAATATAGTACTGGAAGTACTTGCAATAGCGATTAGGCAAGAAAAAGATATTAAGAGCATTCAGGTAGGAAAGGAAGAAATCAAGCTCTCACTATCGCAGATGATATGATACTATACTTAGAGAACTCAATAACCTCCACCAAAAAAACTCCTAGAAACAATAGACTTATATAGTAAAATTGCAGGCTATAAAATCAATACCCAAAAGTCCATGGCTTTCCTATATGCAAACAGTGAGAGAGAAGAAAGCTACATGAAAAAAACAATCCCGTTCACAATTGTGCCCCAGAAAATCAAGTACTTAGGAATCAGCTTAACTAGGGAAGTAAAGGACCCGTACAAAGAAAACTACAAAACGCCACTTCAGGAAATAAAAGAGGACATGAGGAAATGGAAAGATACCCCCTGCTCATGGGTCGGGAGACTTAACATTGTCAAAATGGCAATACTACCGAAAGCATTATATAAATTCAATGCAATCCCTATAAGGATGCCCATGACATTCTTCAAAGAAATGGAACAAAGACTCCTGAAATTTATATGGAACAATAAGCCCCCACGAATAGCTAAAGCAATTCTTGGGAAAAAGAAAATGGGAGGAATCAACCTCCCTAACTTCAAACTCTACTACAAAGCAGTAATAATTAAAACAGCCTGGTACTGGAACAAAGGCAGAACTGCAGACCAGTGGAACAGGGTTGAATACACTGACATCTCCCCTCAATCATATGATCATCTAATCTTTGATAAAGGTGCAAGAAATATGAAGCTGAGTAAGGAAAGCCTCTTTAACAAATTGTGCTGGCATCACTGGACGGCTACATGCAAAAAAATGGGCTCAGAACTCTGCCTAATACCATGTACAAAAGTAAGATGAAAATGAATTAAAGACCTCAACATCAAACCAGAAACATTGAAGACAAAGTTGGTAAAACCCTCCATGACATTGAAGCTAATGGTATTTTCAAAGATGCCACGCCACTGGCTGAGCAAGTAAAAACAGAGATAGATAAATGGGACTATCTTAAACTAAGAAGCTTCTGCACCTCCAAAGAAACAGTGACCAAAATACAAAGACAGTCTACAGAATGGGAAAGGATATTCGCCGAATACACATCTGATGAGGGATTGATATAAAGGATATACAAAGTACTCGTTGAACTCCACAAGAAGAAAACATCCAACCCCATCAAAAAATGGGGCAATGAAATGAACAGAAACTTTCCCAAAGAAGAAATCCGAATGGCAAAAAAAGCACATGAGAAAATGCTCTACATCATTAATCATCAGGGAGATGCAGATCAAAACCACAATGAGATACATCTCACACCTCAGAGACTGGCCCACATTCAAAAGAACAAAAGCAACCGATGCTGGTGTAGATGTGACGAGAAAGGGACACTTCTTCACTGTTGGTGGGAATGCTGACTGGTTCAGCCCTTTTGGAAAACAGTATGGACGATTCTCAAAAATTTAGAAATCGAGCTCCCATTTGACCCAGCAATACCACTCCTGGAAATATATCCCAGAGAGGCAAAAATGTATAGTCAAAATGACATCTGCACTTGATTGTTCATTGCAGCACTCTTTACAATAGCCAGAAACTGGAAGAAACCTGAATGCCCAAGAACAGATGACTGGTTAAAGAAACTTTGGTACATCTACACAATGGAGTACTATGTAGCTGTTAGAAAAGATGAAGTCATGAAATTTACATACAAGTGGTACAACATGGAAAGTATCATGCTAAGCGAAATGAGTCAGAAAGAGAGGGATAGACATAGAAACATTGCATTCATCTGGGGGATATAAAGTAACAAAATATGATATTAATACCCAAGAATAGCTGAGATTAGCACCAAGAGGATTATGCCATAGCTTAGAGGCCAGCTGGGCATTCTAGGGGAAAGGGCAGCTCAGATAGAAAAGGGAGCACCAAATAAAGGGTGTTTGGAGGATCCTCGCAGGAGGGGAGATGCATGTTGAAAGTAGACTATGGACTGAACATGTTTGCCACTCAATGCCTCTTTTGCAGACCACAACACCCAAAAGGAGAGAGAGAACAAAAGGGAATGCCCTGCCACAGAGGCAGGGTGGGATGGGGGGCATTTGGGTGATAGGCATATTATCCATTGTGGTGGAAAATGGACACTGGTGGAGGGATGGGTATTTTATCATTGTATAATCAAAACCCAAATACAAAAAATTATAAATCTACAACTGTACCTCGTGGTGTTTCACTAATAAAAATAAAATAAAATAAAATAAAAATTTTAAAAAACGGGTTGGAGCAATATCACAGAGGGTAGGGCATTTGCCTTACATGCAGCCAACCTAGCAGACCCAGGTTTGATTCCTCCACCCCTCTCGGAGAGCCTGGCAAGCTACCGAGAGTATCTCGCCCGCACAGCAAAGCCTGGCAAGCTACCCATGACGTATTCGATATGCCAAACACAGTAACAAGTGTCACAGTGGAGACATTACTGGGCCCACTCAAGCAAATTGATGAACAACGGGAGGACAGTGACAGTGATAGAGCAAAAAACATGTAATTAAAATATAGAAATTAATTTTATAGAGTATTGGAATTCACTATGGATTTTTGAAAATATCCCTTTGCTTTTGGAGGCAAAAAGAATTTTAATAGTTTTAGTCAACTTGGATTGAAAAAGCTCAAATCACTTGCCTAGAATTATTCAAAACTAAAAAAATTTAAGTTCAAAAATGTAAGATTTTTACCTTAGAGTGGCCTAGATTTTTACCTTTGGCATTCTTTCATTAAATTAAAAAAATCTAATAGTGCAAAAGCTGGGAATATAGCTCAGAGTAGAGTATTTTCCTTGTGTGTGTGACGTCTTGAGTTCAGTCTGCACTACAAAAAAATATAATTTTTAAATTACATGAAAACTAAACAAAAAGCATAGTTTATCTCGTGTAAAACCAAATACTTTCTTTGACCTGGATGAGACCCACTGTTGATATTTAACAAATACGTAATACATCTTAACATCTAGATCTTTCTGAAAATCTAGGCTACTGTAAGGTAAAAATCTAGGCCACTCTAAGGTAAAAATCTTACATTTATGCAACAGTTGAAGATTTTATCATTTGTAAGATACATCCTTAATAGTATTGCTCCAAGAAAACTGACATGGTAAATATACACCACTTGTCATATATAAAAATAAAACTCAAAATGACTTCTAGAACTACATGTAAGAATTCAAGAAGAAAAGTGGCAAAAATTCTTGAATTAGACATATACTTCTTAAATATTAAATCAATAATTATACAAATGGAAAAACTAATTTTAGGAAGAAGTTTCTAAGGAAATGAGATGATAAGCTACAGAGTAAGGAAAGCTACTTGAAACAAACATTAGAATCTGCCTCCAGGCACCATCTCAGTGCATCAAAGGCCTTGATCCAGGGACACAGCAGTGAGTTCTGGGAGACAGCAGCCCGCTAGAGATCTCTCCAGACCCAGCCGTACCATGTCAATTCCATCAGGGCACCTCAGATGGATCAGGTGTGCCCTCTTCTCCCCCGCCTCCCCCTCCAGATGAAATCCCGATGGCCACAAGCTTCCAGAAGCAAAACTCCAGGTCACATGGCAGGAGCAGAGACCTGTGGTCCCTTCTCATCTCCCTGCCTGCTTGTCACACCCACGATCTGCCTCCAGGCACCATCTCAGAGCATCAACAGTCTTTTTCCAGGGACTCCCAAATGAATCTCAAAATGGATTAGCTCCATACAGAGAAGTCCCTGGACACCAACCATTTACGATTTTAGAATTTTAGAGAGGACACACAATAGTGGCCGCGCAACGTCTCGTGATATTCATAATCACTGTCACTGTCCTCCCATTGTTCATCGATTTGCTCAAGCGGGCCCAGTAACATCTCCATTGGAGACTTTGTTGTTACTGTGTTTGGCATATCGAATACGTCCCGGGTACCTTGCCAGGCTCTGCCGGATATTCATAATATGCAATAGAAAATAAATTGTCTTAGCTCTGCCCCTGGCAGGCAGGCTTGAATGGTGTTTGGAAAATTCAAAATAATGATGGTGGGAAGATATAATGGTGGTGGGAATGATGTTAAAATATTGAATGTAATCAATTAATGTGAACAACCTTATGAAAATAAAATTTTTTAAAAAGAAAGCACTTGAATAAAAAAGAAAACAAACATTAGATTTTTATTAAATATATAGTAAAAATAAAAAATTATTTCAAAGTCACTTTAAAGCAATCAGACAATCCAAGTTAAACAATTTTAGGTTTTGTGTCAAACCCTGCAGTAGTGTCCAGGATCTACTCATAATGTGATACTCAGAGATCCTTTCTGGTGGTGTTCAGGAGGATTGAATACCATTCTCCTGTCCTTTGAACCCTTTCCAAAAATAAATAAAGAATTTTAAACAAACATTACCAAAGTATGTAATTGGACATACTGGCACATGTAAAGATGCTCAGCAGCATTTAACCCAGGGGAAAAAATATTTAAACCACCACGGAATACCAACATACTCTATAAGTTCTTCAAAAAGCTTTCAATTCCCAGATACAAAACTCCCATACATCATACATCACTGGTGGGAGTGCATATTAGTGTTGCAGTTTCCTAAAACATTAGCCATATACTATGACACAGACACATGACTCATTTACCCAGAAGAAATAAAAACATATATTCACAAGGAAATATGAACATTTGTAATGACTTTATTCATGATCACCAAATATTTAACCAAGGCAAATGTTGTATAAGTGATGAATAGATGAATATTTGTGGGACAGTTCTGGAATAGAATACTATTCAGCAAATGAAAGGAACAGACATTAATTTCAAAAGCACTAAATAAGCAAAAAAAGGAATGAAAGGGTTAAATAAATATAATTCCATTTTTTATTACATTCACAAAAACTATATAAATAGAAAATATCTCCAGAGGTACAAAGGAATTTTGAAATGATAGAATAGTTTTGGACACTGATTTTGGTGTTAATTACATGATTTTGTACATCTGTCAAATCTCATTAAAATTAACAACAAAAAAAGAGCAGACTTCAGTTAATATAAATTTAACCTTGATTTTGAGATAACAGATTCCTACAGAGTATAACCAATTATGGCAGGGGGAAAGTACAGGTGACTGCTAAACCATGTCTACTACAGATGGGTAGATTCTATTCACATCTAGTTCACTTATTAGATAACTGGTATTTATGAATAGATTTTAAAATTAATCTAAAATTAAGGAATAATGCAAAAGAGGGGCCAGAGAGAAACTACGGGAGGTCAGGTATGCATGTGGGTGAACTGGTTAGATGCCTACAATACCGGAGGTCACCCCTGAGTCCCAAGCCAATAGTACCCATCACCACCAGAAATATGAAAAAGGAAAATTCAAATAACACAATAGGTAAGTTGATGATACTCCTTAAACATTTTAATTGTGCCAAATTCAGTTTAACAAGATCATTTCTGACCCTGATCCTACATGTTAACTCTTCCTTCGAAGTCAGTATTACAGATAATTGGGTACATCACTCTTGCTGTTTCAGCCAAGAAGAATGTGAAAATATTAAGCAGGACAGAACTCATGAGAGAGTAGAAATATCCATCTATGAAGCTATCTTCAAGTCACCATTCTTCTTCAAAAATTTCCCAATTGATGGAGAATTAGCAGTCTTGATTTCCATTCCCAAAGTTTAGCATCAGATGAAGGGTCTCTCTTGTGTCTAAGTTCTCAGGCTGGAGTGCATAGAAATAAATAGAAAATATTTAGTATTAAATAATCATAATATATATCAGCTGGTAACTGGTTTGGGAAGTATTCTTTTATTGAAAAAACTAATTATTCTATTAAATTGTTATTATTGAAATTATTACTGCTGCTATGAAAGCTATTTTTAAATAAAATATATTTTAAATATAGCTCTTGAAGCATGTTATTTTGAACATACATTTAACACTGTGAGCATCCTTTAATTATAGAAAATGGGGAGGAGGAAGAAAACTGTTTTTCTGAACTCTGTGAAACCCTCTAAAGACTGGATTTTTATGAAAATGTCAGTTTTAAATATCATTTGACAGATGTTTTTTCCAAGGTTTTTATTGGAAAGGAAGTCAGGTGGACTTTCTCCTTTCAACAATGTTTTCTGTGATGTTGTAAAGTCCCTGCAGACAAGTGTCTGCCAATCATTTCCAACACACAATCTCCATTTTCCCCAGGACCCTCCAAAAGGAAATGATTATTTACTGCATTTGAATTTTTTCCTTTCTAGTCTTGGCTTGGCCAAGATCATTCTGGATACAGTCAGTGATCCTATCTGTATACAACTTCAGCAGTCTTTTGATTTTCCTGTTTTCTTTTTCACAATCTTTTCACTTCTCACTTCTATGTATGGTGGTGAGGTTAGGTGCATACATTGTAAAAGGAAAGATGTTAACTTAATTGTTCTATGATATATTTTTAGTCTGATAGAAATGATGTCAACACAGAGAGAGGAATACACTGGCTTAGTTGAAGTTTAAGAATATGTATAGGGCTGGAGTGATAGTACAGCAGGTAGGGCGTTTGCCTTGCACATGGCCAACCGAGGTTTGATTCCCAGCCAGCATCCCACAAGAAGCCAGGGGTAACCCCTGTGCATCACCAGGTGTGACCCAAAAAGCAAAAAAAAAAAAAGAATATATATAAAGTTCTTGTAACCATAACCAAACTCCAGATAATTGATATACTAATCTATGTAAATATGAATTGGGTCTATATGAGCTTTGATCTTCTTCTAAGTGATGTCTCATTAATCCAGTCTCCTTAACTTTCATGTCATTATCATTTTTAACATGTATAGTGCATAGTTGCCGCTGAACAGGGAGATAAAGGGGTGACAAGAGGTTTTTGCATAGGTATAGAAGAGACTTATAGGTATAGAAGCAGTTTATGCATAGACCTCTTAAGTCACATCATACAATTAGCAATCAATCACCAATATCAACATTCCTCTCCTGGGAGCCAGTGCTACCTTGTTCCTCTCTCCCCATGAAACTAGGTAAATCTCCATAACTACTTTAATCAATAGAACATTGGGAAAGTGATACAGCCTGACTTCCAGGTGAAATTATAAAGGTAAAATGGGCAATATGACTTGATATTCTGTCTCTCTCAGATACCACACACACACACATGCACGCATGCACGCACACATGCACACGCACGCACGCATGCACTTTTCTTACCCTTGAACTCCAGCCACTATCATGTATGGAAGCCCAGGTCATATGTACATGTATGTTTCAGCTAACAGTTCCAAGTCTTTTCTCAGCCAGCTCCCAGAATCAATTGCTAGATATGTAAATGAATGACACTTCAATTTGCAAAGAACTAAAGAAGTAGAGACAAATAATCTTGCATGATATCATTGAATTTCTGACCTGCAAAAATAATAGGAAATAATGAGTTATTTTCATTGCTAATAGCTATTAAGTTTGGATGTACCTTGTTATGCAGTAACAGGTAACTACTACAGTTAGCTAGTCTTTATCACAGTACTTTAGTGAAGTTGCTCTTTAGGGTTCTCTGGCTACCAACTGAAAGCTGAGAGAAGGGTCACCATGACTACTTCACAGCCACCTTTGTCACTGTATACATGTATCAGTTTTTTGGGAAAGAAACACATAGAGTATGATTAAAGGGGGAAATTCTGGAGAAATGTTTAAACGATGCTAGGGCTAGCTTAAACATTTATTAGTAACACCCTGGAATTCACAACAGTGGAAAACATTACCATTCCAAACTTGAGGAGCTCAAGTGGAAGTGGGTATGAGATCTCTAACTGTAGGGAAGGAAATTCGTCTTTACAATGCAATCACTCTTAAACTGATATAAAAAAAAGAACTGTGTTTATGAATACTTAAAATCTCCTCCCACTCTCTGATTTTCCATCAATATTTCTTATTAGGGAAACCAAAGAGGAAACCCAAGGACATTGGTGAAGACGTCAACAACTATAGTTGAAAAGAAAAGGAGAGAGCTTCCGTGTTCTGAGAACCACATGAACCGTGTTCTGAACCACATTCTCCTTGCCTATCCCTGATAGAATTCTGTGAACATATCACCCAACAAAATGGCCCTGTATGCAGCTCCTGGTATCTCTGGATGACATCTGTCCTTCATAGTAGCATTATTCACAGAAACCCAGATAAATGCTCTTCCACAGGTGAATGGATAAAAAGTTATGGTATGGGGCCAGAGATATGGTACCAAGGTTAAGATACTTGCTTTATACCCAGTGACTCTTGTTCCATCCCAGACACCACATAGCTTCCCCTGGGCATTGCCCAGAGTAATTCCTGGGCACAATACCTAGAGTAAACCCTGAGAACCGCCCAAGGTGATTCAAAAACAACAAAAAGTGATGGGATATGATTTCAGTGGAATTCTACTCAGTTAAAAAGTAGCACTGTACACCCTCTCTTCTCTGGAAAGAAAGATGGCGGCCGCATGGGAGCCTTGTGGACAGCAGGTATGAGCTGGGGGTGTGGGGGCGACTAAAACCTCATGGGAAGGGGGGCGTTCCGGTCCGTCCTTCACGCCCTACCGAGGCCACCAGTTGCCCCCCACGAGCGGCTCTCCAGCACGGCCACAGCCCCAGAAGCACAAGGACTTAATGCAGAACCCAGCAGCTTGGAGCAGAAAAGTGAAAGGACTATGCGTTAATCCAGGCCATCATGTCTGTCCGGAGGGGAAAGGGTGTTGCCCCATTCGCCCTCTCCTCTCTGGAAAGAAAGATGGCAGCCGCATGGGAGCCTTGTGGACAGCAGGTATGAGCCGGGGGTGTGGGGGCGACTAAAACCTCATGGGAAGGGGGGCGTTCCGGTCCGTCCTTCACGCCCTACCGAGGCCACCAGTTGCCCCCCACAAGCGGCTCTCCAGCACAGCCACAGCCCCAGAAGCACAAGGACTTAAAGCAGAACCCAGGAGCTTGGAGCAGAAAAGTGAACGGACTATGCGTTAATCCAGGCCATCAAGTCTGCCGGAGGGGAAAGGGTGTTGCCCCATTCACCCTCTCTTCTCTGGAAAGAAGGATGGCGGCCGCATGGGAGCCTTGTGGACAGCAGGTATGAGCTGGGGGTGTGGGGGCGACTAAAACCTCATGGGAAGGGGGGCGTTTCGGTCCGCCCTTCACGCCCTACCGAGGCCACCAGTTGCCCCCCATGAGCGGCTCTCCAGCACAGCCACAACTCCGGAACACAGAAACCAATTTCTTAACTATCTGACTTTCAATAGAAATACTTCCAGGGTCAATAGGTAAAATAGCAGAAATCCAAAACCAACATTTAATTCTTGAACCCAGCTGTAGAAAGCAAATCACTTCACAATGCTTTTTCAGCATGTCTGATTGGGGGGGGGGGTAAACTCTAAATAATAGTGGTGAATCTTTTATTGAAACAGTGAATCTAATCAAAGCAGATAGAGTGTTAACTAGAATTCATCTGCCTCACAGGGACTGGGAGGGGTGGGGGGTAGGGTTTTATTGGGGTTCTTCATGGTAAAAAATAAGTATTGGTAAAGGGAAATGTGTTTGATATTTGCATGACTGAGACCTAAACCTGAAAGCTTTGTAACCTTTCCCACAGTGATTCAATTAAATAAATAAATAAATAAATAAAAAGTAGCACTGTAGCACTGTCCTCCTGTTGTTCAACGATTTGCTTGAGCGGGCACCAGTAACGTCTCACAACAAATTGTGAGACTTGTTGTTTCTGTGTTTGGCATATTGAATACGTCATGGGTAGCTTGCCAAGCTTTGCCATGTGGGCGAGATACTCTCAGTAGCTTGCCGGGCTCTCTGAGAGGGGTATAGAAATCGAACCCAGGTTGGCCACTTGCAAGGCAAATGCCCTACCCGTTGTGCTATCATTCCAGCCCAGTTAAAAAGTAAATAAAATAAAATCTTGCCCTTTACCATAATGTGAACATGATTGTTGACAAATAAAAAAACAAACAGAAATTTTCTTATAGTTTCATATATGAAATATAAATAAAATTAAACAAACTAACAAATCATGACAAAAATAACAGACTGAAAAAAAGTGTGATTGCTAGGAGGGCCTAGGGAAGAATAAAGGTAACACTCTGATCATAGAAATGGAACTAGATCTTTGGTTGTGGGTGTGGTGAGGTTTATGCATGTATAGAAATAGACAGCTGTACTTTAGAAATGGATAGATATTGTCCAGTAGATAGCACAATGGTTAAGGTCCATGCTTAGTGTATACCCAACTAGGGCTCAATTCCTGACACCACTTGGTCCCCTGAGCACCACGAGGTACAGCCCTGAGGCCCAGCACAGCAAGGATGGCCACATACCCTGGGAGGGGCAGGAACAAGCCATCCATCTCACCTCTTTAGGCCCTTGCACTGAAGTGCAGGCCAGGATCGGTGAAAATCACAAGTTGGGCTAAGGACCACCTGAATACCAGTCGATCACTGGAGCACTGTCCTCCCATTGTTCATCAGTTTGCTCAAGCGGGCACCGGAACGTCTCACAACAAATTGTGAAACTTGTTGTTTCTGTTTTTGGCATATCAAATACGTCACGGGAAGCTTGCCAGGCTTTGCCTTGTGGGCGAGATACTCTCGGTAGCTTGCTGAGCTCTCCAAGAGGGCGGAGGAATCAAATCCCAGTCCACTACGTACAAGGCAAGAATCCTACCCGCTGTGCTATTGCTCTAGCCCACCATTCAAAAAGAAACATAAAAATAATGCACATAGCATTGTATATGAAATTGTAAATCAATGAAGTTTTTCTTTTACCTTTTTTTATTGAATCACCATGACACACATGACAAAGCATTTATGATTTACTTTCAGTCATAAAATGATTGAGCACCCATCCCTCCACCAGTGTGCATTTTCTACCACCAATGTCCCCAGTATCCCTCCCACTGCCTCACCTGACCCCACCCCTGCCTCTATGGTTTACTTTTTAAAAAATCAATAGATAAAAACCTGGTTCTCAGGTTCCAGGAAAAATTTATAGGCCTGAAGATTAAAACTTCTGTGCCCTCTCCCTCTCAGCTCTTTTTCTACTGTGGGACTTCTAACCCACCCATTTTCCTAAGTCAGTGTATTATTTAGAAAGTACAAGGAAATGAAAATTAAAAGTGTGCCCATAAGTGAGTTTTTTTAAAAACTAATAAATATAAGAAGATAATATGACCATTTATCTTACTGGGGAAATATGTAGGAATATATGAAAATGGGTATCTGCCAGAAAATCTTTTGGCATGCTTAAGCATGTTTGTATATCTGTGACAGAGGAGTATAACTGTCTTTAATTGAAACCAGTGCAGATATCATAAATGATTCATTTACTCAGTCATCTATACAGTGTATCTATACATTGTACAGAGCTATGAGCTAAATGTGACAGACTTAATCCCAAAATGTTTATATTCTCTTATATAAAAGAGAATCTTATCTCCACATGCTCAGATGAGCCTCATGCATGAAGGAACTGGCAGAGGAACACAGGTGTGTGGGACCCGGGGCTGAGATCTCCAAGCCTGCTTGGATTGGGACTGGACCTCCTCCACCCAGGTCCCCCATCTTCCAGTAGCTAGACAGCTGTGCCACCAACTGCCGTGTAATCCCACCAGTGGGCAAGATCCAAAGACTATAAAACCAAGCTCCTGGAAGCGTGTGGCCTTTTATTGTCTAATCTTATCTCTCAGAGAGCCTGGTGGGCTACCAAAAGTATCCTTCCCGCATATATAGGTCTGACTGGGAACACCTGTAAAGGTGATTAGAGGCTACCCCAGAAGAGTCCATCCCTCTCAGGGGGCCTGGCAAGCTACTGAGAGTATCCCGCCTGCACGGCAGAACCTGGCAAGCTACCTGTGGCATACTCCATATGCCAAAAACAGAAACAATGATGGTCCTCATTCCCCTGACCCTGAAAGAGCCCCCAATATGCCATTGGGCTACAATAGCACGTGTCAGGGACAAATGGAAACGTTACTGGTGCCCACTCAAGCAAATCAATGAAGGGAGGACAGTAATATAGTGATATATAAAAGAGAAAAAAATATTCAATAAATGGTATTAACTATTTTATTATGTTGGATTACAGCAGCCCAGGCTACAATGCCTTGCTTTCTCCAGCAAAGGTGGGAGCATCCTGTCAGATGTAGCTTCATTTATAATTGTACAACAGATCAACACTGCTTTAAAGCCACACACTCTAAAGGATTATCTGGCAAGTTAAACTCAGGTTAATCAAAGTAGTACAATTATTTGTTGGAAGTTCCATCTATGTCTTGCAGTAAACTGAATTTTAATAGGTAGTAGGATTTACTTAACCCCAGGAGGAAGGAACCAGAAATATTCAAAACTTAGTGGTGTACTTGCTTTTATTTGTTTCTGTAGT